GGGGGCCGGAGGCGAGGTGGGAAGCCGGGGACATGTTGTTCAGCCGGCGGGTGGGAGACGACTCCCTGGAGGTGTACACCATCTCCCTCTGTGGAAAGGGGCAGGGGGGGGGCAGCACCGTGTCCCTTGGGGCTGGCCCCCTGCCCTTGCTCTGCCTGGCCGGGACCCTGTCGCGCTGCACCCCTCCAAGGACCAAGGACGCAGGTCCTGCACCTTCAGCTGGCCTTGGCAAATGGCCGCCCCCTCCTTCCCATCCGGGAGCGGGATGAGTTATTCTGATGAATCCCCTAATTATCATGTTTATTACCCCGCTGTCAGGCCTCAAACATCCATTCTCTCAAAAGAACACTTAACAACGCTGGAAGCGGGCAAGATGAATCGCGGTCATTACTTCTTCCACAAACACAAGCAACTACCAGTCCATCTCCATCGCCTTCTCCCGGTTACTGGTCCCAGCCCACCCAGGTGCACCCACACCGCAGGCTCTCCCCGTGACACCCCGTCCCGTCTCACCCTCAGGTCCCCGTTGGTGATGTGCGAGGCTGGGAAGGAGGCGTAGAGCGGCTCTTTCCGGTAGATTTTAATGATACTTCGGTCCTGGATATCGCTGAGAGGAGAGGCAGAGCCCTGAGCACCCAGGCAGGCAGCCGCCGAGCCCCCAGCATCTCCCAGCCACCGGGCCACACCCGCACCCACCCACCCATCCGTCCTCAATAGGACGAGAGGCAACGGCCGCAAGCTGCGTCAGGGGAGGTTTAGATTGGGTATTAGGAAAAATTTAATTATTGAAAGAGTGGTCAGGCATGGGACCAGGCTGCCCAGGGAGGTGGTGGAGTCCCCATCCCTGGAGGGGTTCAAAAAACGTGTAGATGCGGCACTTCAGGCTATGGTTTAGTAGGAATGATGGTGTTGGGTGGATGGTTGGACTCGATGATCTTAGAGGTCTTTTCCAACCCATGATTCTACGATTCTGCTTCCATCCCACTAATTTCCTTGCTCATGATGCTCTTAAAAGAAAGGAAAAACATCAATCTGTGGTGGATTTCTGAGCCCCCCGCGCTCACCGGACATCCTCCAGCTCGTAGAAGACATTGCGCGACTCGTCCTTGATGAGGATGGCAGTGTTGGGAGACTTCAGCATCCCCATGGTGAGCTTCTGGGGGAACATGTGGACGATGAGGGCGTGCAGGGTGTCCATGCTGCTGATCTCGTGGGTGATGTGGACGCGCCTCGTCTCGTCCCCAAACTGCAGGAAAAGGACCCCTGGAAGCAGAGGGAGCAGAAAGCGGTGAGGTGCGCCCGCGTCCCTTCTCCACGCGACGCTGCAGACGTGCTGAGGCCAGCAATGCAGGTTTCCCCACCAGCTTGGAGGTCTCTAGGCCACCCAACCTCACCCTGGAGCAGCGAGGCCGAAGGCAGCTCATCCCCCTCGGCCAACCCGCGCAGCGTGCAGTGCTCCCCACTCCTCCTGCGGTCATTTGGGCAGGTACAAACCAACCCCGCGCCCGGCACACGCCGGCGGCTGCCCGCAGAAATGGGCAGAGATGTTTGGTGGTGGCCAAGCAGGTTCATGCTGCCCTTCCCGGGGACGCAGAGCCCCGAGGGTACCTGGGGACCGCAGCTTCGTCTGGCTGGTGGACCGGGACAAGGGCAAGCTCTGCCGGAACCGGTTCATCCTGTTGAACCCCAGGGGTAGCTCCGCTTCCGACATGGTTTCCAGGGATTCAGCCGAGGCAAAGGAGAGTTTGGCTTGATCGGCCAAGCCGGGCTGGGAGCCCTGGGAGTGCCGGGAGCTCCTCGTCTGGAAGGGGAGAGGGGAGAGGTCAGAGCAGAGCTGTGCTGGGTACCCCAGCCCCGGTCCGCTCCCCTGGATGCAGCCGTGTGCTGCTCCCATGTTTCCTCCGGAGCCGATGCTGGGACAGAGCAGCTCAGGTGAGGCTGAGCCGCATCCAGGGATGCTCAGTGCCGGGACGGAGCGGCTCGGGCGAGGCTGAGCCGCATCCAGGGATGCTCAGTGCCAGATCCCCAGCTGAGTCAGCACACCGACACGGTTCAGACACGGTGCCAGCTCGAGGCCTCCTCCATCTCCTGCTCTAAGCATGTACAAGCATTTACAGTCCCCTTGCCTCCTGCAATTGCTCTCTCACTTTTTCCGCTTCAGGCTCGCAGCACTCTCCATTTCAAAGCCTCCCGGTGCCGTTCCAGGTGCCTTTGAGTTCCCCCACCAGCAACCCACTCGAAATAAAACCAGCGCTGGCTCGCTGGCCACAGAGCCGGGGCTCGCATGCAAGCACTGGAATAACCTTAGCAATTACAGGAGGTTACACATCCATTACGCCAATGAACCAGCTCCCGGGAAACATAAATGCCCGGCTTATTCTGGAAGCAAAGCAGCGGCAAGGTTTATGGGCTGCCTGAGCCGGGGGAAAGTAATGGGTTTGAGTTTATAGCAGTAAAAATTTAATATGCCAGGAGTCCAATTTCACATGGCCAAGCGTACATCCACTGTGTAAAAGTTCAGGCTACAGAGATGGGCTTTCTGCACCAGCATCTCCAGACACGCAGCCGGGTCCCCTTGCCACGGGTACCGGCGCGAATGCTGCCCGTCAACACCCCGAAACACCAGGCTGGATTTTCCAGACACATGTTCAACGCCGGCAAACGGAACAGAGAGAACAAACAGCTCCTGGGGTGTGGAAAAGGCGGCGTGGAAGGGACAACGGCTCTATTTTAAGACCGAAAAGAGAAATCAATATGAAATGATAACAGCCATCATCATCCTTTAAATTAGCCATTAATTGGAAGATTTAATTAATCCTGCAGGGTGGGGTTGGCTAGGACTTGAAATGTTCTCGCTGTAGCTAATTGCTGGAAAATCGACTGCTTAGTTCTGTTGTTGTTGTCTGAGCACAAAGCACGCTGGCAGCGCGGATGCTTGAAGTCTCACATCAAGCACGGGAAGCGGGGCTGGACCGAGCCCGGGCCAGCGCATCCTGCATCCTCCAGCCCCAGCCCCAGCCCCAGGGGGCTTCGCAGCGGGTCAGGGAAGCTGTGGTGAGCAGGAGGCGATGGAGAGACCCAGTCTCCTCTCCCCCACGTTCACGCCGTGCAGGTCTTTGGGGTGTGGCAGCTGGTTTTTGGGGCTCCTCATCCCAAAAACCTTTTGGGGCGAGGAGCCTTTTGGGGCTCCTCGCCTGGGAAACCTTGCGGGCTTGTGGTCCCCCACCTCCGGCTGTGCGGTGCCGTCCCCCAGCTCCTGACCCAGGACAGATCCCGGGACACAGGGAAGCGTGGGGACGGGGCAGGCAGCACGTGGCCAGGATGTGACCCACAGCACCAGGGCTGCACCTCAGCCCGGCTCTGCCCTCCTGGCAGCCCCCTCCTCCCTGCTCCTTCCCCTGCTCGGTGCCAGTGGGGTCTCACCCTGCCCCC